TTAGAATATCCAGATTAGTACAAAGGGAAAGATAACACACTTCACAGGCCTAACGATGCATTATGAGAAAGTCAACAAACTTGATTGCTCGGAAGTTTGTTGCAGTGACTGAGAGCAGAAGTGTTTGTTGATTCATGCAAACCAAAAAAATGCATACGGCATGGGAACCTGGTTACTTAGAATTTTAGAGTTTAAAAAACGGATCTAATCTGACATGATATAAATTCGGTATAGATAAGCCCGCAGACTGGTAATATACGATGCATGTGCAAATAAAACCATTAATAAGAAATGCTTATGATGAGCACTTTCATAAAGTAGTGAATTTTTCAGCTTTACCTGTGAATTAGGGTCTGCCCCAAAAGCAAGCAATAACTGCACTAATTTTTCTTGTTTTTTTAAAGCCGAAATCATTAGTGGTGATCTTCCTTCCAAATCAGCCTGATTCACGAGCCTTCGCGTTTCAGGGGTGGCGCACAAATTTAGTAATTGGCTGGACTTTCGAACATTGTAGCTATTCGGCTTAAGGGGCGAATTTGGCTGCCGACCTGCTGTGCAACTAGATATTACAGGAGAGAAAGCGCAACTTTCTGGGTTGGCAGTAGTAGTAGGCAATTTGGTGAAGGGGAAAAATTCGTCTTTGAATGTAGTTACTGCAGGAGACAACAATGAAGTGTCTTGAGGGGGATTATATTTGGCAAATACAGAAGGTGGCGATAAGGGAGAGGCGCATGCAGCTAGCAAAAATAGAGAGATGAGAGGATATCCATTCTGACAGGCGACAAGCAAAACAGTCGAGCCTGAGTTGTCTTGTACTTTGGGGCTGGCGCCGGCTTGTAGTAAGAGGCTAGGGAAAAAAGAAGATAATGCTGAATAGAATGGTCGAAGAGAATGAGGTTGTATATTGCACTATTTTTGTGAATATAATAGAGGTGCATTTTGTGACTAGAAGAAACGAAATCATAAAATAGTAATGAATAAGAACTGATATTCTCGAATTTAAAAAAATATTTACCAAGGAGTAAAGGTGTAATAAGGAGGCCGATTTCCTTATTCAACATGAAAAGTTAGACAATGCGTCAAAGCAGTCAATTCAGAAAAGCGAAATTTGGAAAGTGATGATCAACATTATACTTATTGAGATTACGGCGAAATGTTTGAAAATGTACTCAGCCAATGGCCCAATGCTGGAAATTCCGAATACTATGGCAGATGACAAAAACTAGGTACATTCCATTAGGTCTCTCTGACGCTCAGAGCAAGTTGCGAAAACAAGGTCGAATCATAGTATAAAGCCAAAGGAGACTACGACCAAACAGGTCACACTATCTTGGTCTGCATATTTACGATCTTATTAAGATTCTGTTTATAGGCAAGCAGCAATAATATGTGTGGAGAAAGGTAGAGTTAGCTTGTAATAGCGCGCAGACTAAATTATGATAAGGTTTGCATATTTTAAAATACATATTTTTCATGCATATTTTAATATAGCTGCTAATTTGCCCTTTAAAATATATCCCTAATGGGACTTCAACAAATGTAAATTAATATGTGGTTTAGTTTATAATTAAAGCATGGAGCTCAAAATACCATTTATAATTTTACTTTATAGGATCATGAGTCTTCAAGAAAACTTCAAGCAAGAATAATTTCAATTTTAAAGGCCATAAAGCAAAAAAATACTTACATTACAAGGATGATTCAAGAGGTGAGGTGAGAGTAATGTAAGGAAAGTACGTCTCTGACTTTCCAAGTAATAAAAGAATGGATTTTTATAGATTTTCACAAACTTTCATAGGGTTTTTTTTCTACTAAAAGTTAAGAGGATGAAATGTTAGTCCTTGGTAAGTATCTAATAATACTTTTAAATGCTACCCAATCTATTTACACTTGACATTATGAAAACAGTAGGTCTAATTAAATTTTTCAAACTTTACTTGCTAGGTCTAGGAGTGTGAGAACGCATACGCCTTGAGATTTAATAATAATATAAATCATTGTTGAGATACACCAGTTTCGAAGACTTTCTTATTTTTAATTCCTCTATCAAGAATATCTTTCCTATATTCGGCTGAGAAATTATATGTAACTGAAATACAGACAGATAGACTGTAGTAAGAACAGACATCCTAATCAGGTAGGAAGGCATTTGCTTAATTAGTAAAAACTCTGAACAATATTTTGAGAAAAATTTCCACTACAAAATTTCGTATTGGTTTTGCATATATTTGCAAAAATAAATTTAAGTGTAAAAATAAGCCAGGTGAAGAATATTTAAAATCGTTGTGACCATTCTTAGTCTGAAGCAAAATATGATTATACAAACGGCAATATTTTAGGCAGAATTAAGGTTCAGATACTTTCTCTAACAAATACGAAAACCTTAAAAAAAATAATATGCATGTGATTCTTACTTAAATACTTAGAGCATTTTTTATATTAGGAAAATGTGTTTTTCTAGTTGAATCACTCCGAGGTGGTCACCAATATAACCTAACTCATTATAAATAGAATGTGACAAGCGATAGAAGTCGGTTTTTAACGTTTAGGTCTACTAAGATCTGGCATAGAAAAAGAATGATATCCATAGCATTTTATCGAATAAGTCATTTATGAATAGGGCTTAATGTGGATAGACTGAATAAAATTATTGAATTGAAAATATAGATTTATTGACTAAATCATAAAAACCAACAGAGTTTACAATAATATGTCATATTTCAAAATAATGATAAAGCCATACTGAACCATGTCTGTCCTTCCGGCTTCTGTAGCAAGATGAAGTGGAGTAGATCCCGAATTATCCTTGTGCGCTTCATCTAGTCCTCGAGCGAGTAGTTCTCTCACTACCTCGAGGGCATCTCGTGACTTATGAGAAGAGAAGGAGTTAGAAGGAGAGCACGTTGGAGAGGCTGCAACTGCTTGGCTGAGAAGAGACCGTCCGGCAGCATCAACTGAATGCACTGCACATCCCCATGTTAGTAATAGGTGGACAACCTTAGGGTGACCTGCCACAACAGCAGCCATTATGGGTGTACGGCCCAACCTGAAAAGAATGATAATGGAATAAGTTAAGATAGCTTAATTATATAAAGGAAGCCAAAAAATTTGTCGATGATATTACCATTTGAAGTAGTAAAGAAATTCGGAGGTCGAATAATGTAGCGGATATAAAAGATAAAACCTGAAAGAGGAATGACCGTCTAAAAGGCATCTGTTCATTAAATAAAATAAAAGTGAATGAAAGGGATGAAAAGATGTCATGACAAGCTTTAAAATGAATGCTGATTATATTCAGAGTAGTGAGGTGATCAGACTATAGATTCAGGCCCCTGCTAAGCCCAACTTTTTGAAGGTATAAAGATGAAGATGGTGTGTCCTTTAGTATGGTCGCAGTCTCCTGTCGCTTATTGACCTTGACTTGATCGTATTATCAGGACGACCTTTTTAAATTGCTTATACTGGGAAAATAATTACTCGGTAGCACGAATAACTTCAGTTCTAAAGAATTTGCCATTTTTCACTAGTGGAAAGCTTAGTTAGTTAATAGTTAATATAACTTGGTTAGTATAGGTGTTTGTGGCAAAACACAGGTGATATTAACAAGGTAAAAATTAATATGCTAAAATTTGCGACAGCTGGACTCGAGAAGGAGATATTCCTGCTATTTTAGTATTATTATTGTCATCCATTCATCCCTTGGAGGAATTTTACTCAATATATATTACGAAAATGAGTGGGCCGAATAGCCTGGGGGCCACTATGAAGCCTATATCCCCGGGACCAAGCTTTTACTTTTAAATTGATCTTTTCAAAAAGCTGGTCTAATTTACAATAAGCCATCTTTAATACTGGGAATATATGAATCAAATTTTCCTCTCGAGGAAAAAGTTAGCTGGGAGGGATTTGTGAGTCGGCAACACCAAAAACTGAGGAAGGATGGCCTCGGAGGGAGGGCTTTTGAATCGTCTCGTGAATTCGATTAATCCGTGTTGAGATTTCCTCTATCATCCAATAGACATAGTAAAAGAGACTCAAATTTATGAACTGTACTTATATACTAACGCATGAGAAAAGGTGGCTGACTGCAAAGCTGTTTACTTCTTACACCTAATATTTGTTTATCCTATGAATTCGTTGGTTTATTTATACTTATACTATATGTATATATATATATGCCGTTTGAAGGGCATGCATTATTCAAGTAAAGTAAAGTATGAAAATTCTGATCTGACTTGAGGCCATTCAAGCCTCTTCTGCTTGCTCAGCGGTTCTTCCTGTGTCCGCTTCATAAACCTATCTAACACCCACAAATAGTTCGCACTCAGTAGGCTCCATAATCTTACGAGAAGATATCGAATACCGTAGTCTGCAATATGTGTCTTTTAACAAACAATTCATGGATCCCATTTAAACAACCACATTAGATTGTAGATATGAAGACCAAGATAGTGTGGCTTTCTGTCTGGTGGCAGACTCCTTTAGCTTTATAATGTTGGTTCGACCTTATTTTCGCTTCTCAGTCGGAGCATCAGGAAGATCCTGTGGAACGTACCAAGTCCCGTGTCCTCTGCCATAGTATTTGTGATTTCCTGCATTCGACCATTGGCTGGGTACATTCCCAAACGTTTCGCCGCTATCCTCAGTGAGAGGCGTCATCGTAAGAACAGAGTTACAACTTATCAAAGTGATGAGTGAAGGCAATCCCCTTGACCAATTTTCTGTTCATCCGTTGTAGCATCACTCCTCGACCCTATTCTTTTATTCTAGCTTCTAGTGCCGCATCTCTTTCCCTCAATTCCACTTCATATGGCTCATCCACTTATTCACACACTTCTGTGCTCTCATTTCCTACAATGTCGTCCAAGATTGTGTCGCTACAAGTGGGTTTAGTGAAGCGTAATCATCTCCACCGTTTGCAGGGCTCCTTTCCCTCCTTTTTTCCTACCGGCTTGTCACTGTTTGGCTCTCCGAAATCTGGCTGCCTAAGAGCTTTCAATTCCCGTCCTCGTTTACGTCATATTCGAGGATTTAGAGCAGAAGATGCAGTGCCCTAGCAATTGCCTGGCAATCATCTACACATGACTAGTTTATCTTCTCCATCCTCCCCACCCATATTGTGTCTCATTCTTTATGGCCCTGTATTCGGCATAAGTCAGAACCGCTGGTGTGAAATGCACCCATTTCCTTTTTTTCATTTGAATCACGAAAAGCACACTCCACTCGTCTGTCAATTTGACATTAAAATCTAATACTAGGGTACTATAATGTTCATGTATTTTTTAGCTGGTACAGATACGAAAAATATACACAACACGAAAGCACACTCATTGGTAACCTCTATCTAGCCCACTTATACCTTTAGCCTTTAATTTCATATCCTACATCTGACAGGTGAACCTGGGTACATTTTGGCTAATTCCACGTCTGAATCCTCTCACTGATGTCGCCTTTTCTTGACTTCCCTTGGTGATGTCTCTGTTGTTGAACAGTTGCTCTGGGTCAAAACGTCTTCTTTTTGATGTCTTCGTTGAATATTCATGTCTGCTCAGGCATTACGCGAAATTATCGCTGACTCTTTCCTCTAACAATCTCCTGTTCATCAGGTTTCTTTGAAAAGGGATGTCCACAGACTCCCGGATGGTGTTCTCCCCATATGAAGCCAGTCTCTCCGTTCCATTCCAGTCAATTGTGTGGCCAGTAAGGACAATGTGTTCAGCTACCTCCGATCTTTCCGTATCCATTTTTCTGCAAAGTCGCTGCTGTTCTGTGATCCTTGTACTAATTTTCATTCCCCTTTCTTCTATGTATTTTTGTTTACAGTTCCAGCAGTGTATGCTGTAAACTCCAAAGCACTCCATTTTGATAACTTCGTCATGCTGTGGTGGCAAGCTGGTGAAGAGTGTTATCTCTTCCTTCAGGAATGTAAGAATGTTCCATTTCCCTAGTATTGGCCATAGCTTCCGAGCCAATTCGCAGGAGGGTAGACATATCCATCGTTTTTCCTATGCTCATCTTGCTTTCCTTTCATAATCTCCGTTCTTCCATCTATTCATCACCATCCGTATGTTGCGTTGTATTTCTTATTCTGGATATCCATTTTCAAGATTCATTTGAGTTAGTTTTCCAAGTTGATCTTCCCAGAACTCAGAATCAGCGAATCGTAAGCTTCTTATGACCATATTCAAGAGTATTATAATCTTCATCTCTTTAGTATGGTTCGACTGAAAGGTTAGAGCTATTCCAACAAACGATTTTTTTCGAAATAGTTTTTTCTTGAGAATTACCTCGGAGCAAATGACCTCCGCATTCAAGAACGGTAAGTGTCCGTTCTTTTCAGCATCAATGGTAAATTTGACCTTTCACCAATTTCGTTTATGAAGATCAAAAAATCGTCCAATTTTTTTCTTCCATGCGACCAAATTGCGCATAATTACTGCTGGCTGTTGGGGTGAAATTTTAGAATTCGTCTCAAACTTGTCCATGAGTACATTAGCCAACAGAGGTGAGAATGGTGAACGCATGGACAGACCAAATATTTGCTCATATATGCGGCCGTTGAACGTGAAATAGGTCATTCTCATTACTGGGTGGATTAATCGGGTTAGGAACTTTCTACGAATTCGCTCTGTCTCCACGATGCCATTTTCTTTTTCCAAGATCCCCAGTAATGCGGTGAGTGCTGTTTCTCGTGTCATGGTAGTGTGCATGGACTGTAGATCAAAACTCACCAGAAGTTCGTTTCCTTCCAATCTTGCGCCTTTGATTTTCTCGGCAAAATTCGTATAAGTTCCTCCTTAAATTCGATAATCTGTCATTCACTTTCTTTACTTTGAGGCAGATAAGTTTCCCAATTTATCGGTAGGTCCATGTTTGCTGCTGATTATAAGTGACTGGAAGGACGGAAGGAACGATCTTATTAGGCAAGAATGGAATCAGCTAGGAGGAACTGTATTAGAGCCTATGTTCTCTGTTTGGTTAGATGACACTTCCTGATATCACAGACTTGAGTATTAGCCATGAACTGAAA